AGATGGCATCATGTCGTGCAGCGTGATCACGTAAGATGACGTCATTTCGTGTAACGAGATCATGTAAGATGACGTGTTTGTGTCACGTGATCACGTAAGATGACGTCAGTTCGTATGAACTGACGTCATCTTACGACAACGCCAACAACATTGGTGCCGTCCGGAACCGTTGACCTTAGAAACGCGCCTCTTCGCTTGAAGAGCTGATATGCGTTGATTGTTATTTGTTTCATTTCCCTACTACAGACCATTCAAAAACTCGCATTCTGGGTGCCACCAACTTCGTCTACTGGGCTGTGAAGCGCGTTCGAGCGTACGCAATACCTCTCTAGGCCGAAAGATTGTACACTGAGTATGCGTTCACAGCTCAATGACTTAGGCATTTTTCGTCAGGATAGATGTTCCCACGAGAAGAGCGTAATGGATATGTGAATAGAATTGGAAATTTGAAATGTTCTTGTCCAATCGCATTTTTCTTTGGTTATCAACGCTTTTTAGCGTCATCACAAGACGTTCAACCCATAATACGCTGGTGATTAAAAAATAAGCACTGAAAAACATGCACCGATTTTCGCTCAAAAAGAAACACCGGAAAAAACATACACCGTAATCATTACCCATGTCACCTTTTTGGGTGATATGTGAATTTCCAAAGAACAGCGAGTTGTTACCCCCCTTCCCCCCCCCAGGAATACCCTGACTACAGAGCAGGCGACCCGTTTTTCCCCGCGTTAGATTCCGGGGACCACGAACCGTACGGAGGTCACAGGACGTCCGTGAAAAATAAAAAGGAGGAAAACAACGATCTACTCTGTGCACGCTTCATCCCCGATTTCCACGACCCCAAGGCCGAAGGACGTTTGTGTGAAGGATAACGATAAAATAAAACTTTGCGTCAAAAAAAAAAAGCCCGTTTTTAAAAGAAAAAAAAAAGTAGAATCAAGCACAACGCGTAGACGGACCGCGAGGTTGTGGAACACCTCGCGGTCCGCTTGCCACAGGACGGTTGTCTTCGACCCATAGCTCCAAGGTGAATTTGCCCCTTGCGAAAACACGGAGACCTACCCAGCGAGAACCAGGAAAGCAAGACACGCACACTGACGCCTCGGCGTGCAGAATGAAACAGGATACGGGCGCGGAATACGGGTGCGGAAGAACACCTCGCACAGTGCCGATCCGGCCGATCTCCGAACGGACGATTTCGCATTTCGTGGACAGCGAGCGCCACCGCAAGGGGAGAGAGAGGTACCTTAAAAACGACGAAAACAAGCACCGACACCTTGGTTCTTTAAATTTGTTGTAGTTACGGAACAAATCGACTTACATGAATAATTTGAATATTATTCGATTCCGTAATAAATTTAGAAGACATTAAGCGCAATACTTCTTATGTTTGAATTTAGATAATTTTGTAAATTCGCTCCGAACGCAAGAGTGCCGAATTAGCCGATTTTGACCATTTTCATGATTTTTTAAAGAATATAATTAAATTTATGATGAAACATTTGTTGTGCTTAGTGTCTCGATAATGACTCAATGTCTTTAAAGCCGAAATTTTCAAGAAGATCTGCGCAGCGGTTATTATGTGAGAACTTTTTTAATTTGGTGAAAAACCTTATGTATTCTCTATGGGGCTCTGAGGTGCGCCCCCTCTTAAGTGTGGAGTTAGTTTTTAGGCCAACTTCGGAAACGTGGTTGTTCCATTTGAGATCGCTGGAGAGGTGAAGTCCTAGTTACTTATATGATATGCAGTAACCAATTTTATTGATACTACTTAGTAAGAAAAATTACACATTTTTAACTTCCTTTAACGTCGATTCAGAGCGCAGCTCTTTAGGAGGAGGAAAGGAGGGTACTGAGTGGAGGGCATGCCCTTCCTCCCCATCAGTATCCTCTCCTCCTCCCCTTCTCCTTCTTTGCGCGCGAAACGCGCGTCGTCACGCGAGGTTTCGGCGCGGTGCCGAAACGTCACGGTGACGTTTCGACCCGGTGACGTTTCAACACCGTGCCGAAACGTCACCGTTGTGCATTATAGGACGCTTCCCATAATGCACCGCGCGGTTACGCCAACACCGCTCATGCCGTGACCGCGCGCCTAAGAACTGCGCTCTAAAATCAGACGAGGTGGTACGACGAGTAAATGTAAGTAACTTGCCATTTCCTGTGTTCAGGCTCATCTGCCAAATGCTGCACCTCTGTTCAATTATATTGAGGTCATTGTGAAGTGTTCTATGGTCATTTGGTGCCCTGACTCGGCAGGAAAAAAAAGTTATTTGACACCTGCATGAGAGTAAACGGGTTCACACCGGTTAAATGTTCAGCCGTACTGGTCAAAAGGGCCCCGTCAAATTGGTCCCGGCCAAAAGGGTCCCAAACGTGCACTCGCCTCACGCTCTTGCCATGCCGAGACGTAGTTCTATCTTCTTCCTATTATTTAAATTGCCATTAGAAGCACGCTTCTATAGTCAGTATAGTTACGAAAACTCGTAACAAAAGCAGAACGCGCACCTCTTTCCCAGTCCAGCTCAAAATGTTCATGTTCAATACACTGCACCAATTGAGAAAACGTGGTAGCGTAGATCTCATATTTTGATTTGCCATAATTAATCCCGGAATGTGGTACTTACCGTATGTCCGTACAACGAAATGCTAATCGTTTTAGGATTTGCATATTGAATTTAAAATACTTTACATGCCAGTAGGTGAGCCAAGGAGAATGGTAAAGTATAATATATGTAAATATAAATAATTAAATATATATATATATATATATATTTATATTTATTTATTTATATTTACATATATTATACATATCTTAAATACCTTACATGCCAGTAGGTGAGCCAAGGAGAATGGTAAAGTATAATATATGTAAATATAAATAATAAATACAAATATATATATGTGGTTTCATTTGAAATCGAACACGCTTGTCGGGGTGGGTCTTTTGATTTTTCTTGAAAAAATATACGTGATTGCCCCATTTCTGGAAAGAACGAAACCGCTATCCAAAATTTTTTTTTTTTAAATATTTCGCTTTACAAAAAAGTATTGAGTGGAGCAGAGTGAAAATCTGTTTTTTACTCCGTGATTTTTCTACCCCGTTCTGTACGCTGGTATGAATACGGGAAGCATACAAAACTCACAGTAATTTTTTGTGTTCTTGTATGTTATTTGGACTATTTTTTAGTTTAAAGTAAAATACTTTTGTAGTTTTGTTTATTGAGGTAAAAAATTCCAAACATTGTCTCTTTGGCGATCAGGTGACATATTCAGAGCCTTGTAACTCATGATTTATTATATTTGTCACTTATTAAATACTACGCGGGTGTAGCCGTATACATGGGCTATCGACGCGCATAAGTTTTGTTTATTTTATTTTCACAAAATTTTTTATATAAAATTGGAAATATCGTCGAAAATGAAATTAACCGATATTTTGAACTCACTTTATCAAAAAAGGCCATTTGTTATTTCGTTCAATTTTTTTATTATTTCTGCCGATCATATTAACTTTCAATTGGCTTGATGCGATTTCCCCCTTTTTTTGTTGTATCTTCTCTAGAAGTGATCGAAATTGCTCCCACGTGACAATGCGGTGACAACTTCAGAGCCTTGTAACTCATGAGGTATTATATTTGTCGCTCACCAAATACTATGCTGGTGTAGCCCTATACATGGAATATCGACGGGCATAAGTTTAGTTTATTTTATTTTCACCTAATTTTTTATATAAAATTTGAAATATCGTCGAAAATGAAATTAATTGATATTTTCAACCCACTTTATCCAAAAAGGTCATTTATTATTTCGTTCAATTTATTTTTATTATTTCTGCCGATTATATGATATTTTAATTGGCTTGATGCGATTTCCCCCTTTTATTGTTGTATCTTCTCAAGAAGTGATCGAAATCGCTCCCACGTTCTCTGAACGGCCAAACGCAGTTTCCGCAGGTCGGCTTCGCTGCAAAGAATATACTGCTTATTTGTGTGTTCAAAAGCAGCAGGTAAATCACGGAGTAAAAAACAGAGTTTCACCCTCCTCCACTCAATAATTTTTCGTGAAGCGAAATATTTTTTTAAAAAATTTTGAAAAGCGGTTTTATTCTTTCCAGAAATGGGGCAACTACATATATTTTTCAAAAAAGATCGAAAGACCCACCCCGACAAGCTTGTTCGATTTCAAATGAAACCACCCATATATATATATATTTATTTATATTTACATATATTATACTTTACCATTCTCCTTGGCTCACCTACTGGCATGTAAGGTATTTTAAATTGAATATGCAAATCCTAAAACGATTATCATTTCGTTGTACGGATATACGGTGACGCATGTGTGTTTCTGTGTGTGTTTAATATAAAAGTGGAGATATGCAGAAATAAATATCTATAATATTTGGCATAATCAGCACGAGTAAAAAAGGTTCCATAACACGCCATCACAGTTATGTAGTACGTTCATGACGTCTTTGATTCATCATGTGCATGCGTTTCGAGATTTGCATTTTTCTTTCACACCTACACTACATTTCACTAAAGTCACACTGTAGCCGACGCTACGATCTGATAGGACTAATCATGCAGTACCACGGACTGCATCGCAACCTTCAGCTTTTAGTGTGCGCGTGTGCATTTGTTTAGTGAGTCACTTCCATGCTCCAGCTCTCTAGAGGGCTCTGGAGTCTGGCACATATGAATAAGAGCCCTAGAGCTCAGTGAGCAATAATCGACCTTTAGTTAAGCGATAATTGACCAATAGTTAACTTTTGTGCTCTCTTAGTTGTTTCCTAAAATATATCCCGAACACTTGAACACATTAAAATACACATTACGTGTGTCCTGAATGAAGCTTTAGAGTAGCAGGTCACTAAAACTAAAAAACAGCATCCAAAGTGTTTACAAATTCCTCGGGATCATTTTGTCCTAGACCATTTTGTCTTCGACTATTTTGTCCGGGACCCTTTTGTCCCACACTTTACAACACCAGCGATGGCCTTTAGGACTCGTGGCTGCTGCTTCGAACCTATCAACGCCACGCTGGAGTCCCTGGAACCGGGGTTCATCTTGCCTCCGGTCTGCTTCTACCCGGCCAACTACCTCGGCTACAAAGTGGAGTCCATTGGCCGGACTCCGACCAGGACGTCCGTGAGGCTCAAGAGGGTGACGCCCTCGGGGCTTCCGGACGACATCGACCAGCTGCAGGCGGACGTCATCCACTACAGCGACAACACAGCACGCATACGAGTACGTCGAAAAAAACAAATCGACATATTGAAAACAAAAAATACCGAACAGCCACACGCGAAGTCTCGTACCTTGTCCACTCAAAAAGTTCCAAAATCTCTTGTAGACAATTTGGAGCTTTTTGTCTCTTCAGATGTGCGTTGGTTACGAATATGCGAATTGTTACGCGTCGCCGATTAGCGTTTCTCTTTCCAGATCTACGACCCGCGAATGAGCCGCTATGAGGTGCCGCTACCCAACGTCGCCAACCAGGAATTCTACTTCCCGGTGATGTACGAAACTTCCGTCAGTAAGTCGGGCGACATTGAGATCATCCGTCCGACTTCCCGGAAACTCGTGTAAGTACATTGCGTGCCTTAATTCGCGGCTTCAGGAACTTTTCCTTCTTTACCACCACCACTTTGACAATCTTTCTTTGATATTGTTAACCTACCTCAGAAAGAGGATTGCGTGTCGCCCTTTAAACAAAAACGCATTTTTTTACATATATTATACGATTTGCTAAAGAGGCACGTTTTCATAGGACTGCATTTCTTTTTTGATAGTATAAAAGTTTAAGCTCAGCTAAAGTAGAACAAATAAAAAAACTTGATTTTTATAGAATTAAGACTTTCTCGATAAGCCGTAAATCGTAGCGGCTGGGGGCGATTATTAAGGGAAAAAAAGATTGGCTAGATGGAACAGGAAATATAATTGCCTTTCATTTTAGATTGTTATATCGCCAAAATAAAGGCCACCATAACCCACCATGTAATTGATGCTTTCACACGAGCCAGGCTTTTCTTTTAATAAAAAACTCTTCTAATTTTTTTGTTTTCTTTTATACTTGTGTAATCTCATCCTAAGTCGAATTTATAATTTAATTATACCTCTGTATTTTATGACGCGGCAATATTCTCAAAGGCCTTCATGATTCAAACGCGCCATCGAGTTCACGCTGTTTTGTACTCACAGTTAAGTTCCTTCGCAGTGGCTTACGGAAATATCCTATACACTTGGCGCAAATTCATCGAGGTATTATAAGGAAACCCCATAAGACCAAAATTAACTTAAAGGGACTCGCAGATATTTCACTTCGTGTTATTGTTCTGCCTCATCTATTTCTATAAGAAGATTTAATATTTCTAGGACTGAAATAAGGGTTCTTAGTTACACAGCATAATTAGTGCCGGCGCAGAAATGCACATCGATAGGAATTAGTAAATAGCGTCTGGCGTTTGGCTTTCGCATTCGAGTGCGTTCGACGAGCGCAGTGGAAACGAAGGCAGCTGGCTTCATGTCTACCCTCTAACACATCCAATCAGAGCTCGGCGTTCTGACGTCCCCTCTTTTTTCCTGCTCTCCATCACTTGCTCGGTGCACAGATGTTTGGTCGGATGACCCAAGCATTAAAGAGAATGCGGGAATGTATGTACACCGCTCTGCACGCGGGGTCGTCTGCGGCAGTGACTCTTCGAAAGCAAAAATAATAAACAAATGGCACTTCGCCCGTGCGTTCCTCAACCCATTCTTTTGTTTATTTACTGCGAATCTATTTTGTACGTGGAACACGAACGCGGGCAGCGTGTGTAGCTACTTTCCCAGCATTCTCTTTGGTGCTCGGGTCATTTAGCAAAAAGTCTATTCGTTTTTATTTTTATTTTTTTTTTTCCAATCTCTGACGTCCGCTGTGGCTGGTAATTTGTTACCGTAAAGAGTTTTTTTTTTTTTTTAACCGCGTTATCTTTTCAAGGTTTTCGAATGTTTTCGTTGCAACAACCGGTTTATTTAGGCACAGCCACATAAATATAACTTCGTAGCAATATATGGCCCGGTATATTTGTACGTGCAAGTCTTTTTTTCTTAATTTTTATATCGGAGCCGTATGATTATAAAGAATATTTTGCTATGCATAAGCTTCAAGTTTAGAAGTCGCTTTCATTGAACGACGAAGCAATCCTTACGGCTCGAACGGCGTAGAAGGGATTTTTATTATTGCACATTGGTGTCGCAGGTTCCACACCAACCTGTCGACATTGGTGTATGCGGACCAGTTCCTTCAGCTGTCGACGTACATTCCCTCCCGCTACGTGTACGGCGTCGGAGACGTCAAATCGCCGCTGCTTCGTAGCACCGACTGGCAAAAAATCACCCTCTTCAACGCCGGACGATCCCCCACGGCAAGGACCTCAACATTTAAAATCACAGTTTGCGAGTACTTCTTTCATCGCGATGCCTGGAACGCGTCTCCGCGTATTGTGTTTCCATCGTCCGGAAAAAATGGTTCCTCGATTTTCCCCTTGTGACGTCATAAAAGTGTGATGCGCCGCACTCCGCGATCCAGGCGGTGTCAGAGCAGCGGTGGTGGATGTGGCAGACGCGTCTGGTTTGCTGCGGGTCGCTCTCGAGTTGAACGGTACGCAGAAGCATAGCCTCCTATATACTGACAAAACCTATCAGATCGCCACGAGAAGCGGCCGCCGGAATGGAAAAGGGGGAGCGGCAGACAACCTTTGAGAGGAGAGCCACGTGACTGGCGCCCCGCTGCGGCGAAACGCCGAAACGTACTTCTCCCGAGCGAACAAGCGTGTTTCGAGTCCTCGCCGCTGCAAAAGCTGTGCACTGGCTTCCATATTCCCTGAGGAATGGCTCTTTGATGCTCTTTCCTACCAGATCCTCGAGCTCTAAATCTGCGACCGGGCACTCTATGGCTTCGTCGTTGAACTGCCAGGCTTTGGGAGCATAGAAGAGGCTATGACAGAAGTTTGGGCAGCCAGGGTTGGGACGCCGTGACGACACCGACACTCGCATTCTCGTGATTTTTTTTACGAAGTTCTACACGCAACAGCCAGGATCGCGACACCCAACAGCATGACACACCGGCTCCTGTGACGTCAATTGTTGTCTCTTCGGGACCTCTTTGCATGCATGGGCGGAACTAGAGCCACTAAATAAGCTGCGCTTAGAGTATCGGCACTCCGTTCCCCGACATTGTTGTGGGCGCCGCCATTTTGGCTCGTATGCAGAACAGACGCAAGGGCCGATCGTCATGATTATAAAGTGCGACTTCCTCAGCATTAAATTCGGTGTTAGGAAGGTCATGTAATATTGCTTTGCTCTGTCGCGAACGGTTTAAACATTTGTGGAGGGCGGAAAAGCATTTCCTGTGATTTCAGATAAAGCTTCAGATAACTCGGAACCATGATTTTAAGACACAATATGGCCAAGTGCCGTTACTCTGAAGCGTAGCTTATTTAGTGGCACTAGGTGGAACTGGACGCTGAACACACCAGTCGGGGACGCGTTCTGGGTATACCGTAGTTTTATGACGATGGTGTTACTCGAGCTCATTTCACTTTAGAGGGAAAACTTCAAATCTTAGGACGGGAGCCTACGACTGTTCAAATAGGGGTACACGAGGGACGCCACGTTGTTTCCCCTTGGTCGCCGTGCCCGCTCAGAAATGGCTCTCATTACACGGACAAGAACAAGTACCTTGATTTAGAGGACTGCACGATTATGTTCGTTCAACGCGCATTCCACCCAGCCAGGTTCGTTGTTCCTTGGCAGACAATAAATGGAAACTTGTGCATGAACTGCGAACAAGGACCAACAATATTGCGGCCCGTGAATGCTCCCGTTACATCAGGGGTCTAAAAACTCCGGCCCGCAGCCAATGAGCGTATCTGTCGTCATAGTAAAAATGATTTCCATTCTCGTAATAGTAAGCTCTAAACATCCGTCTGTCACATTCACGCGGAGTAATTGGATATTTATTCATTGTAATGAACGGGGAGCTCGGCGAACAAAGAGATAAAAGAAACGTGCCGACATAGAAATAACGTCGACTGTATGTGTAACAATGTGTGCATCGTGATAGTGCGAGACGTCATACTAGCGTCACGCATGGCGTTATTTATATATTTTTATATTTCTCGAAAGCAGTCATTTTCTAGAAAATGTCTTTATCATATGCCTAGCTACCCTAGATATGTCGACGTTGAAACCACTTGTCGGACTAGCGTTTTATGGTGCTTTGAATCATGCGCAGTTGCCAAAAGCTTGCATGGTGCATCCTTGCAGTCAGAAACTTCCAAGCAAAAATACTCGCAGCGAAAAGCGAAACAAGAAAACTGAAATAATTACGAGTTTTTTTCTCTTTCCCGCAGGAGGGCAAAAATCTTTACAGCAGCCATCCGTTCATGCTCATTCACGAAGAAACGGGCGAAAGCTGCGGCCTCTTCCTTCTCAACAGCAACGCAATGGGTAAGGATTGCACCATCCGTAGGTGGTGACGGGTTGAAAAAAAATGGGGCTCCAATGCACGCTGTGAAGGTGCTTGGCTAGCGAACCTGTCGTATCACCTGCAACGATTGCCCACTGCACTATACCCAATGCTGCCGCTGGTCGTATTCCCATTTCTTTTGCCTTTGGCATCTCCTCGCATTCACGCTGTTTTTCGGGGGTCGTAACTATGCGTGGCCTACCCATAGGGGTGCTGCAACCACAATAAAATCAGTTGCTATACTTCGTTTCACCTTACGTCCAAGCGCGGCGGATGTTGCGAGCCATCGAGACAATTTAACGCCGTGTGGGTGTCATGTGACCTTAGAGAGGAAGCACAGCGAAGCGCAAAAAGCGTATCATGGGCTATGTTTACAGAACGGGATTTGCTAGGTTAGCTCGTGGCGTCCGCTGCGTCCGGACATAAGGAGAAACGGAGTGTAGAAAGGGTCCTTATTTCGTATATGAAAGGCTAGTGACGTCACTCCCCACATCGCAAGCTGCCGTCGCCGCGGCAGTTGCGCCACAGTAATCTTTACCGAGAAACGTATGTGGTGAGTGCTGCGTGCTTCGCATTGTTATTAGGAGCACCTTATCATCAGTTATGTGGTTCGGATGCTTGTTTTGTGCGTGTTCTTTATTAAAACAAATGCTGTGCTGTATGTTGTACGCGCGATGTAAGCACTTTTCGCTTCAATCGCTAAAGGTTGCTTGTTTGTTTTGTTGTTTTCTTCTTTGTTTGGGAGGGGGGGGGGGGGGACGCCGCTTGAAAAAATCCGACCAACGAGTCATATACAGCTTAGCTGTAAAATCGGTAGAAGCTCCTCCTCCAGCTCGCACTTTTGCTTTCCGCCGGGCTTTGGCTGACCGTGCGACGAAGTGTCATCAAAGGCAGTTGGCGCCATCTATTAGGTTGCCCTTCAACTGCATTTCGCTCGAGCGAACGTTTTTCGGTATTCAACGAGATCAAAGGTACGGCTAGGTATTAGGAATGGTACGCCGTAACTTTGTTCAAAGTTTTTCGAGCCATTAGTAAAATAATGATGCGCAAAATATACAGAAATTGAAAGTGGTCTACGTCTATTTAATAGCTGGCATCAGTGTGCTCTTTTGTCGTAAAAGATCAAGAGAGGTAACGAATTTGGTCGTAAGCAGTCGCGAGTGTGTCAGCCAGCCTTGAATAATGAGAACATTGGGACGTTTCGTCCGTCGTTTCCAGTTTTTTGTAAATATGTGTAACATCAAGCAGATGGTTTATTTAGTCTCTCTTTTTCTACAGCATAGTGATGGCCTTCTTGCGTAACTCAATGGAGGCCAGCATGGAGCTCAGATCGAATAGGAACGCTGCGTCACCATTTTACACGGACTCATTTTTCACTGAACGAAAGTTTTAGCTCTGAACGGATGACCTATAGTTGGTGGCAAGTAAAGAGTCCGGGAGAAGCTCCTCCCTTCTTTTTCAACTTTAGCAGAGCGAACACAGAAGAGGAGACAATGCCCTCTCCAGCTTTCGCTCTGCTTAGCTGGGCGGGAGGAGTTTTCCCTGTACCCTTAACCTTACACAGACTATAGTTTCTGAGACAAATAGTACGCCGTCATCAGGTAGTTTTTCTTCCGGAAAAAAAAAAGTGCAGTGAAGAAGTGTACAAAAAAAAGTGGAGCCAGATGTTAAGACCTTATTTGTTGTGTAGCTAGGAATGGCTGACCGGAGACGAAAATTGATCATTATCGGCAACTCCAGTGAAATCGACGGCACCTAGTGGCTGGAACAAATTCTGTGGCAATAGATTCGCTCGAAAGCTTTCTCGAACGAATGAGACCTTCATTGCGCCGGCTGTCTAAAGACGAAGGCGGAAAATTAGGTTCGAAAACACGTGAGGATAATTGCCCTGTTCTCGAAGACAACTTTCTGTGAAAATTCATTCGAAGACGGAAACGCAGGCCCTGTCAATTTTGACAACGGAGATCTTCTCCTCGGAAACGCCAAGAAAAGTCGAGGTACCGCCATCTTCACATCGCAGCGCCTAATACGCCGTCTAACGGCTAACATTTGTAATGCAATTTTTTTTCTCGGGGTAGGCAACGCTGTGGAAATAGAAAGTCTAGGTGGCGCAAGCTACCCCCCGTTATAAAGGGCACAGCCACTACGATGCATCCATTTATCTATTCTTAATTAGAGGGTCGCCCTTATCGGAGGCGCACTAGGGGACGGCGGGTACATCACTGGGTCGCGTGCTGACTCATGGCAGGCCACCGCCTTTCCTCCTCGAAATATCGAGGACGAAAAGGTAGGGACTTTTTGGTAGAAGTTCTACAACGAAGGTACATGCAAACATAAAATATAAAAGCGTTGCGCAAAATGTATATATAATCAAAATCAAACACATAGAAGCAGAAGAAAGATATAAGCAGTCTACGGTAACTTGAGATGTATGTATGTTAACTCTCAGAATTCGGTACGCGCCAGTGTTGCGGAGTTGCCACCACTCCGGAGTTGGAATGATTCCGGATCATTCCGCCTTTCCGCGACCCGGGAATGGAATAGCGGCACCGCTAGAAGGTATGGAATGGGAATTGAATAAGGTGCAGTTTGTCAGGACTGGAGTAGAAATTTAAAAAGCTTTCTTATTATGCGAGCTGTGTCGATGTGGCCAATGGGGCCTTTGAAACAGCATTTTTAGGTAACTGATGGCTTGGTTATCTGACAGGTTCATGCTCCATCGAGGATGAAAGTGGCACCCCAGTGAAGCAAACAAAACTGTAGAGTTCTAGGCTGACAAGGTCTCTTTCCTGGCACCGAGAGACTCGAAAATATGGCTGTTGTGACCATGTGCAATCACAACACTAGTCGTAGGCCACCAGGCAGGGACATTGCCACCCCCCCCCCCCCCCCCCCTGTTTCTTTGATATGTGACTCTTCATTTCCCATGCATCTACAAGAAGTGGAATAGATATACACTATTGTTATTTTGGGAAGAAAATGGGTTGTTTGAGGTTTTGCCATCAGCTACGCAGCTTTTTCCCTTGATCGCGCGATCGATATCTGCAGTGCCACCATACCAATTGCCACTATAAGAAAAACACCCCGTTTCACAATAACTTGGCGAACTGTAGAGGCTATATAGCCCCTGCTACCCAATAAGAGCGTCGCAGTAGGGCACGTGACAACAAGTCACGGGAGCCTTTGTGTCACTGCGCTGCGCCAAATGCGCTCTAAAAAAGGGTATCACTTTGCACCCTTTTGTCCCATATAATACACCCAAAACTTCAATTGGACGTACAGCGCCCTATAGTCGAACACACGGCCCTAGATTTTGCGAAGGGCTCGATAACGATGCGATATAACTTTTTTTTAAATAGCTAAAGTACGTATCAAAGCCCACATGAAGAAAACACTGAGTTTTTACAGTATAGGCCAAAAAAAACCCAAATATTTGTTTCGTAGTAAGTAACACGTACATTGGCTATTTTAATACGTTGTACCACTTGGCTATCACGCCCCTCGTAAAATTTGGGGCCGTCTGTTCGACTATAGGGCGCTGAACGTCGAATTGAGGTTTTGGGGTGTATTATATGTAGGGTTCAGAGTTTTCGGTTTAAACCGATAAAAACCGATAAAAGTACGCCGAATCCTTTTTCGTAAATTCGGTTTTAACCGAAAAAGGTCAGGTTTTAGGCTTGGCCTTTTCGATTTAAACCAATAAAAACCGATAAAAGTACGTCCAATTCATTTTCTAAAATTCAGTTTTAACTGGAAAAGGTCACTGGTGACCTTCCAGTCGTACCGCAGAGCCTTGGCGAAAAAGGGGAACGACAGTGTCTATTGAAACGTGTCCGAATGTATGGGATACGCGGATGTCACCACGACGTTTTGGTTTGATGTGCGCATCATCGCACTTTAAATCAAAACCTGAAGTTCGAAATGCTCCATGACTTCGCCATGTACGAGCGTGTTTTCAAACTCGCTGTGAGAAACACTGACTTGATGCAAGCTCTGCATGTTGTGTTGTGCTTGAAAACGCCGCACAGTGTCTCTTTTGGCGGTCACAATTGGTCGATTAGCCGATTTTGGCTCAGGTGCGCTTCACCTCCTCAGCCTGCCAGTGTCCAGTGTTAGCGTTAAGAGGGCATTCTCGAAGCTTAGGGTCATATTAACAGGCAAGAAAGGGTGCGGATCAACATGGAGAACCTAGGAAAGTACATGTGTGTGTACTATAATAAGATCACGTAATCCTGATATACAGAAGGTGAAGTTCCATGTTTTTCGGGCATAGGCTTTGTACCTGACTTGCTTGTACTTCTGTTGTTGTTTTCTTGTTTCCTTTACAGTTGCACATATTTGCCAAATAAAGTGTCCGTTTATGTTTCAATGTATCTGTGCCGTTATTCTTTGAGTGATCACAAATATCAGAGTTAGAAGGACCACCTTATTCGGTGTCCGTTGGTGTTCATTTTATATTCACCGAAAAAAGCCGATAAACTTTTGTGGGCATAAATATACGCCGAAAAAAACCGAAAATGGAATTTTAAAATAAACACCGAAAAAAGTACGCCGAATTTAAAAAAAAAGAAACCGAAAACGAGGAACCCTAAAAGGGACAAAAGATGTAACAATACGCCCTTTTACACCCTTTTTTTTTTTTTTAGAGTGTGCGAGGCCCCGAGAAATCGGCTGTCGTCTGCTGGACAAGAGTCGTCTGATGTGAGATCAACCGGCATCGAATAAACGTCCCCCCGCCGCAACACTTTTGTCGGCTAGAGTTAAGAGCTCTTCGGGAACAGCTCATGAGACAACTATAGACCTTTTCCGCAAGGGCGCCGCCATCTTGAATTGTCGTCACTTCCAGTATGGAGGAAAACATTGTTTTGCCGTCGCCACGCCAGTAGAAGGCATTTAGGACATAGACGTAACCGTCACACATTCACGTTTTGCCTCCCCTCTATTTTTTTACTATTCGCAAGGAAACGTTTTGATATTTTTT